ACTTATTTATCCTTGAGTACCATTGATTCTCTAATGGACAGTGATTCATAAAACACATTCATAAATCGGAGCTCCTACTGGTCCAAGTACCGAATCAACCCTCAAGAGAATTATTTATCTACTTCTTTCTTAAGAAGGAATGGATTCCATCTCGTGTAATAACATTCGCGGCTACCTACTTCATCATGTCTCCAAAATACAAGGAATAGGATTCATGATCTCAGAATCCGTACCGAGTCAATCAAAAGACACAAATCCATAAAATAGGAGTCTGTTAAGAACTCAGGATTAAGATCATCCTATATATGACCATCGGTAGACTCAATTAGAATTTCTATACTTAACGGAATTATTAGAAATTCATATTGTGTCTGTGTCCTTGTTCCACATAATCTCATTATGCAAAATACACTCATTCAATATCTCACCATATTAACAGTGCGGATAACACCGTTCCATTATAAATGGGAATGACATGTATTAATAATGTTTTAATTAAAGATTCTGAACTTTAATTAAATTCATTATGAACATTGCTTTTTGATTATTATCCTTAAACATTATCCTCTCGTATATAACACTTATATACAATGTTTAAGGTTACATAAATAATCATGGAATTTTCATTGATATTCATAAAATATTCATAAATATATGCACATAAAATAATGAATAAACTCTTTTATTAAATAAATAATAAATATCATATTACATCTTATGCTTCTAGGATACCATTCCCAACAAAGATAGCGTTGTTTTCTACGTTTGGTTCATGGATTAAAATCATGAGATTAAAACTATTTTTGATTTACGTGTATTTTTTTATGATAAAAAATAATATAACAAACCATAAATCATAATTCAAATCATAATATAAATCATCTAACCCAACGTCCCTTTAAGTTTGCCGCTTTTTGTATGACGCATTTTTAGCCATTTGATTATTTTAAGCCCTTATCGTTTATTTGTTGATAGACATATGTCGTCCTGAAGTACCTTGTTTTAATATTAACATCAATTATGACTTGAGGTTACTATTATCTTCCTCTATTATCATTTATTTACAATTTAATGAAAATATTAATATCAATAGTATATTTAGTATTAAAAAGTGTGATACGATATGTTATTTTTATTTTTATTTTCATGCATAGTGCTATTTAAAATGTTAAATTTACTTTTTTCTATAACTATTAAGCTTTAAAAGTTGTAAAAGTACATTTTTATTTTTAAAATAATTATAAAATGTAAGACTTGTAATGATTACATAAAAAAGTGAACATTTTAACTAATAGTAATTAAGTACTAAATTTTCCGTATGTTTAATGAGAAATTTATCACAAAGTATATCATATGAAAAATTGACACAATAAATATCATTGTATTAGAGAATATTTTTTACACTCAAATATTAAACTTGCAATTAACACATTAATTATATGAAATGCTCACAGGTTCATCGTTTTAAAGTTCATATCAAATCTCAGTTAGTATTGTTTTTTTTTATAAAAAAAAAAATTTATAATCTCCTTGTCGTTTTGTTGTTTGGTCGTTTTAAATTAACGTCATTTTTATGTCGTATCTTTATGTCATTTTCGTTTCTTTAGTCCTTCTTCCTTTCATCCTTATGTTGTCGACATTCTCATATTAATGTCCCATTGAGGTTATTGTTGTTTATAACTGTTGTAGTTTTTTACGTCATTGTTGTTTGGGCTAATCTACAAATGGTCTCTTATCTTTATCCTCAATCTCACTTTAATTTTTTATTTTTAAGATGTCACACGATTGATCTCTGTAATTTTACTTTGTTTCAATTTCAGTCTTTTTGTTAATTAAGTGCTAAATATTTAACAGAATCTATAAAAATTATGGACTAAAATTAAAATCATCTAAAGTTATGGGACTAAAACATTACAGAAAACAAATGTTAATTTCTATAGATAGTCTTTAAATTTTAACTATTTTTAATTTTGGTATCAAATTTAAATAGATTCCGTTAAATATTTAACACTTAATTAACAAAATAACATAAATTGTAACAAAGTAAAACCTCAGGAACCAACCGTGTGACGTTTTAAAAGTCAAATACTAAAATAGGATTAAGGATAAACTTGAAGACTATATATGAGATTAATCCTCATTGTTTGATGTTCTGTCCGTTTTAGGTTATAAAGTTTTATCGGTTGATTTTGTATTTCATTTTGAGAATTGATACGTCTTTATAAATTATTGTTGTATTTTTAGAGGAATTATTCAGTAGATCGGATGTACTACGTCATTTTATTTATTTAATACACCCGTCTAATAAAAATATATTATTTAAACACTGTCTATGTCAACTTTTTAACTCTTATATTTCTCTTTTCTGATGTGTATTGTATTGATTGTTGGATAAAATACATCGATAACTATTCTACTCAATTTCTTTTTTTAATTAATTAACTTTAAATTATTTTTTTTTCCTAAAATATAATTATTACAATTTTCACCGCTTTGTGGGCATCCCTTGCTATTCCATCTACAAAATGGAAAAAAAAAAATATATGCTTTCTTAATGTGTATTGCATTGATTGGTGAGTAAAATACACTAATAACTGTTCTACCCAATTTCTTTCTTTAATTAATTAACTTTAAATTGTTATTTTTATTTCTAAAGTATAATTATTTCTCCGCTGTGGACGTCCCTTGCTATTCCATCTACAAAACGGGAAAAAAAATAAAATAAAATAAATATATATATCTATATATATATATATTTGCAGCATGCTTTCTACTTCTCTAAACTTGGTATAATCGAGGCCATCCGCCAAAGACAAAGGAAAAAGATATGCTTTCTCTTTTTTTTTTTTTTTTTAATTTGATATTGAGGATATTGAGATTAAAAGTACATTAATATATTTTAATATTATATTGCTTATTTTATTTTTTTTTCAAACTTAATTTGAGTTAAATATAGTTTCATGTTTCTTCCATTTAAATTACCTTTTTTTCCCTTTATGTGCTGAAAGATATATTTTCAATGGTACCTTAATTTAACGCTTTAAAAAAAATTGCGAGTTAATCAATGAAAACTTATATGTTACCTATTGACCTATTGACACGAATTTCGACAACTGTTGTTTAAAATTTAAATTTTAGTTTAGAATTTAAATTGGTGTTTAGGAGTGAAAAATTCAAAAATAATTCAAACTATTAACAATAGTTTAAGTACAACTCAAATTGTTAATTTTAGAATTCACCTCCTCCTAAATTCTAATAATATTAATTGTTGTCAACAATCTAATAGTTCAAGATTTTACCTTTTCTCTCTCTTAAATTTCAATATTAAAAATATCATAACTTCTTTATTTTAATTCCAATTGAGATATTTTTTTTAATGTGTTTATAATGAAAAGAAGAACAAATCCTCACCCATATTGTATATTTTTTAATTCCAATTGAGATATTTTTTTTAATGTGTTTATAATGAAAAGAAGAACAAATCCTCACCCATATTGTATATTTTTTAATGTCATTTAAAATAAGATCTTATAAGATTTGTTACAAAACTTTAATGACAATTTTTAACACTTTGTCCGAATACTGTTCGGATTTTATTCTCAATTCAAATTATAATTTATTTACATATTTAAATAACAGTTCAGATCACAGTTTAAATTATTATAATTCAAATTTTACAGTTTTAATGAAAAATGTTCAAATCTGTAAAGTTTGAGTTATTGAACCAAACAAGCCTTAAAATGCTTTATTTTTGTTTGTTTAGGTCCATACGTCTTCTTTTAAACTAATGTAGTTTCTTACAATACTGTTGTGTTTTTCCGCTCTTACTTTCGAATGTATTTTTGTTCCCATGTTATGTTGATTTTGAGTTGATGTCTTATTTTAGTTATTGTTGTTTTATTTTAGTTTGTGTCATTTACTTCATTATTGTTTTTTTTTTCTCTCTCTTCTTTTTTGGCATTCTGGTCGTTTTACTTCATTGTTGTTTTTATCTATTCTCGTTCCTAAACGTCTTCAATTGATGCTCATATTATTAAAGAGGAGAAAATACATATTACAACGACTATAAAAATCAAGTGAATCTATAAAAAGAAAAACCAACACAAGTCCTGTACACATAAAATTCTAAAGAATAAGGATAATGAGAACACCATATCTTATTACAATTAATGATTCCAAGATTAGCAAGCTTATCAGCACACATGTTAGCTTCGTGAAACACGTAAGAAAAATGAAAATCCATGCTCTTGGACAAAAAAAAAAAAAAAAAACTGCTCCAGTCATTGCGCAATCTCCAAGACAACTGTAAAGATTTCGAACTCAAAAAAGAAATGATCTTTTATTTTTAATAGATGCTCACGTGTACATCATATGATCAAAATTTTTAAAAAAACAGAAGCCGTTTCTATTAGTCTTTAATTGCTCACGTGTACATCATATGATCAAAATTTTTAAAAAAACAGACGCCGTTTCTATTAGTCTTTAATTGTAAAGATTTTTAAATTAAAGAGGACAATTGTTAGAGAAAAATATAAATTAAATTGTCAAATTTAAAAAGTTCACGATACAATAAAAGCCTACTTTGTTTTAGTGATGTTTTTGTTTATTTTGATGAAGGTAACTAGCTTATAATGTTTATTGTTCTTTTTTTTTTATCGTTCTTAGATTTACGTCATTTTTTTTAGGAAGCATCTGAACAAACAAAATTTCTAGAATCATTATCATCTGGAAAGGAAGAAGAGACGAGAAATAAAATAAAAATAAATAAATAAATAAAGACACCCTCAAGTCAAACATAGGACAGGCACCATTTTCTTCCCTCTATTTTGCTGAGGATGATATCGAATACGACGCACTTCTACGACAATAAAAATAAATAAAATGTACGTTGTCATTCATGTCCTATATGAATTCCTAACTATTGCAATTGAGCATCCATGACGAACAATTCCCCAATAATGTAACTTCATTTGTGACGAATGAGAGAGCTTTTATATGTAATTACAAGTCAGACTGTGATTTTATTTATGCACACGGTCAATTATCATTTTCTAGATGCAATCAGCGATGCCAAAATTTGCAAAAAAAATAGATATATGTAACACGACACGCACATATATACATTAGTCAAAAAAACTTAAAAAAGTTATCAAATTACAAACGAAAAATTTTTAAGACCCTACTAATTAATGCTAGATGATTCAGTTATTACGTATTTAATATTTTGGAATGTTGGAGCATAAACTCAAAAGATTTCTGAATTCATTTCCTATTGGTTTACAAGCTTGAACTTGCTTTCAAATTGTCAAGATATGTATCTTGAATAAAATCTCAAAAACGAAGATCGAAAAAAACAATAATAATAAAAAAACTTAGGTCCGCAGCCGACCTTTGGCAATTTGCTTGTAGAAGAAGTAGTTTTTAAGAAAATAAAAAATTGCTTCTAGAAGAATTTACTTAATACTTGGTAAGAAAAGTCTTGAGTCTCCAATGGAACGGAAGTCCCACACACCACACGTCAATTTTACTTCTTTTTATTGGCCCCTTTATAATCCTTTGACTTTCCATTGGTTCGACATTCTCATCTTCGTCACATGCAAATTGAACTGGTCTTACCTCTCTGTCTGAACTCTCGCTGCTTCTTCACATCCTTCTAGACTAAGGAAAGTTCAAGGCTCTCGTCTTAAAAGAATAGTCATAATAATAATCCCGCATTAATTCCAAAAGTACATGCCATCACATTTCTGCAAAAAAATCCACATTCTTATCATTTTTAATCAGACCAAGCGGCCGTTGAAAAATTGTTATACGACAACAAACTACCAACAGACACAATGCAGAAGATCAAGTACTGGCTATCGGAGCATCCAGAAATCGTGGCCTTCAGGTGGAGCCCCACCCAATCATATGGCTCCACGTGGTCATTCCTCGTCGGAGCAATCACCATCTACATTGCCGCCGCCACAACCCTACACTTCCTCCTCAACACCCTCCCCCTCCACCTCCTCCGCCGCCGGAGACTCCGGCCAATCCCTCTCGGCCCAATCCCTGCAGTCCACAGCCTCGCGATGTGCCTGATCTCCGCCGTCATCTTCCTTGGCACGCTCCTCTCCGCCGCCTCCGAGATCCGCGACACGCGGTGGCTGTGGCGGCGCTCGAGGACCAACCCCGTCCAGTGGCTCCTCTGCTTCCCCCTCGGCACGCGCCCCACGGGGCGCGTCTTCTTCTGGTCGTACGTCTTCTACCTCTCCCGCTTCCTCCACCTCCTCCGCACCTTCTTTTCGGTCCTCCGCCGCCGCCGCCTCAGCCGGCTCCGTCTCTTCAACCACTCGATCCTCATCGTCACCTCCTTTCTCTGGCTCGAATTCTCCCAATCCTTTCAAGTCCTCGCCATTCTCATCACGACCCTCATCTACTCGGCGGTCTACGCGTACCGTTTCTGGACCGAGATCGGATTGCCCGCCGTCGGCCCGGTGTTCGTGGTGAACTGCCAGAAGTTGTTGCTCTGCTTCAACTTGGTTTGCCATTTGGGAGTTCTTCATCTGCATTTGATTCTCAAAGGTGGGTGCAATGGGATCGGGGCTTGGATCTGCAACTCTGTGCTCAACGGAGTCATTCTTTTGCTCTTCTTGAAAATGCGCTTCAGAAAGACGAAGCTCCGTGATGAGCTTGAGGGCTCGGTTTCGTCAGTACATTACAAGAATGATCAGAATATTGTTAAAGAGAAGTATGGTTGAGTTAATATGAGATTTTTTAACTTCTAGGTGATTATACGACTTTTGTTTTGTTTTGTTATATTGTTATACCTATATTGCTCTCAAGTGATTTGGGAGTAAAAATTGTAAAATCCCATTACACATTTTTTCGGGTGAATTACGTGGTTATATATGTACGTCACACTAATTTAAAAGAGAATGTGTTACCATCGGATTATTTTTTTCGAGTAAAAATTGTAAATACGGCTACAGTACTTATAATGTGATTTTTTAAATATATATATATGCCAAACTGATTCAAGAGTTCATGTTCTATGCTTTGTAAATTTCCAAACGTTTGCTTTGCTTTCTTTTTTTTTTCTTAGGGGATTTTATTTTATTTTATTTTATTTTTAGCATCACGTTTTCTTGATTGTTAGGGCCTGCCAAAAAAGAACAAACTCATGTGTTCTTTTATTCTTATCTCATTTTATGTCCCTTTAATAATATTATGATACTTCAATTAAAATGTTACGTCAATTAAAATATTCTTATCACGTCAATTAAAAAGTCATAAGGTGGTATGTTATTATTAGGATGACACATAAGGAAACAGAAAAATAGGACATATGAACTCATTCCGCTGAAAAACTAATATTGGTAACTGGAGGCACTTCGCGTTCAATCAAATATCAGCTTATTGGTATGAGCTTGCAACAAAAGCAAACATAACTAATATAAATATATATATATATATATATATTAGTGAAAAATGAAATGTGTTTCTATTAATGGGGCTTGGTAGATTCGACCGTTGTGACAATTAGATTGTAAATATAAGATTGAGCTTTTAATAGATGATAAATTTTGCCTTCTAATTAGTGGAAAATTTATAAAATTGGACATTGGGCCCTTGTTATCAACTCTATTAAGAGAATGCGATCTTAGATTAAGGAAACATTAGGCTCCCTTCTAGACTTTCTTTATATAAAAAAAAAAAAGAAAGAAAAAATATGAAGTACGAATAGTATCCTTTTGAGAATATCAGAGACAAGCCATAAATTCCATGTGAGTTAGGATTTGGGCTACAACTAATTAGTGTTTGCTATTTTTTTTTTTTTTTCATTTGTTATTGATTTTGATGTGAAAATGCAAACCCCGTAATTGGAGTTGCAAAAATCATAATATGCCTGATCCATGTGGAATTCCTCGACCTCAAGTTCTTGCGTTTCTATTTTTTTTCATTTGTTATTTGATTTTGAAGTGATAGAAATGCAATCTCGTTCATTTTACCGATTTCAATTTTGTTATAGTTAAAAACTCTCACAAAAAGTCATATTTAATTTTTTCTACTACAGTTAAAAGTTCTCACATAAAATCACATCTTATCTCGAATTAAAAACTCAAATCGACGAATTGAACGATAAGATTCCTTATTCATGCGGAATTCCTCAAGTTCTTTGTAGTATAACTTACCTAGCCATGTTGAAACGGAGAAAAAAAAAGAAAATACAAATAGCAAAAATAAAAAATCATTATAATAACTCTTCTGTAATTTTGATATGTCTAAAATATTTCAAAATCTCCTGAAATTTTACAAGGAGAAAATTAGATTTGGACTGAACTAGTTTCAAGAAAATAAGAGAAAATTATGTAATATGATATTAAAATTTAATAACTTTACATTTATTTCATTTAATCTCTCTTTATCTTTGATGATTCAGAAATTGATATTCTATTAAAATACTATCTAAAAATTGGAGCCGAAGATGTTGGCATCTTTGTTGAGTGGTACAGATGTTAAATGTATATCATTAGGTGGTAGATGTAAAGATGGTATTTTTTAAGTGGCATTTTTTGTATAAACAATTGTTGAATTTAGCCTTACAGTGCATATATTTACCCCTTATTTTTATTAATTATTTAACTAAAGAGGATATTATCAAAGAATAATGATAAAAATTTAGATCAATTTACTTTAAAAGAGTATTTTCCTCGTTTTCTTTTTTTTTTTAACATTCCAAATTTTGAGAGATATTTGGGAGGGCTGCCAAAGTTTTATAGTTTGGATCGACTTTTGCCGGTGGCAGGAAAACTCCTGCAATTTTTGCCAAAAAAAGAATTCTGTGTAGATTAGGGATCCGTTTAGTTCGCTGATTCGAGTTTTTAATTCGAGTTGAGATGTAATTTTATATGATAACTTTTTACTGTAATAAAAAAGTTAGATGTGATTGTTTGTGAGAGCTTTTAACTGTAATAAAACTCGAATTCTAAACTCGAATCAGCAAAATGAACGGAGCCTAAAATACCTCTAAATTAGGGTTGTTCGTCTTTACCTCTTTTCCTCCTTTCTCAGCCATTCCCTTCTCTCTCTCTTCTGCCCACCTCGCTGACCAGCACTCCACCAGAGATCTCCGATCTACAACAACAAATCAAGATGCTCTCCACTCGATGGCGACAATGGAACCACGCAGAACTCCGTGCGGTGGTGAGGATTAATGTGTAGAGACTCCACGGAGTCCATCGTAAATCTAAACCACGGTGGCATATTTTCTATTCGTCGCGGTGAAGCTCCTCCATTGCAAATCTTTTTATTTGTGGTGACTTCTTGTTTCGGCGTTGTACGGTTGCGCAAGGCACGGCGAAATGGTGTCCTTGAGGAGAAGCAAAAAGCTCCGGTGAGATTGAAGTCGTTAAAGGAGAGAACGTGTGGAGATCTCCATTGGTTCGTCCTCGTCACTAGAAAGATCTCCCCTATCCAGGGAGATTGATGGCCGAACTTTCTTTTCTTTTTTATTTTTTCTCTCTCTTTAACCGGTTGTGGATTTTTGTTGTAATCTTTTTCCAGATTGTTGTTATTGTGGTTGTGGATCTTTTCATTGTATTTTTGTGTTTTTACTTGTATTTTTTAGGTGCTCTGGTGACGGAGACGGCTGTTGCCTCAATCATGGCGATTACCAGTAGAGATACCGTCAGTTATTGGCTGAGATACTATCAATTATCGGATGAGATATCGTTGATTTTTTGTTTTCTGTGATTTGGTTTCCCGGTTGCCGGCTGCCGATAACGGTGGATTCCGGACAATTTTGGTAGTTACCGGCCTGTGACTTGGTGGTTACCGATGGATAGCCAGTATCTTTGCGGATACCAATTGGTATATTGACCAAATACTAGTGACTCGATTGGCATCGGTGGTTGGTAGCTGTTCGTGACTATTGAATACTGACAGTTGTCGGTCGGATACCGCCGGATATCTCGCTTGGAGACTAATTTTGTAATCAGGTACCAACAGGTAGTTAGATACTAGTATCGTGATTGAAGACCCGGTATCCTAAAACTATATTTTAATATCTTAAAGATAGTGTGATAACATCGCCTCACATATGTCAATTTAAACCTGTTGCATTTAAAGCCCAAATTTTGATGTGTTGGACTGGATCATTTTTAAGGCCCGTAACTATTCCCCACCAACCGGGACCCACTAAACCAGACTAATTTGGGTTAGCGCTGAAAGCGGAAGGCCATCATATTCGAGTGTGACGCACAAGGTGGAATAGCGCTTTGCATCACGGAACGATAAACGACACAAAATAAAACAAAACAGTTGCGTTGCTTTGTGCCTAATCATATCAACCGCCCGCCAACCAAAAAAAAAAAAAAAAAAAAACAATCAAAAAGCCCC